TGTCGTCGGCTGAAAATCAACGTTGACGACACGCCGCCCACAAGGTACTTCAGATGTGGAAGCGTATTTTGTAGGTTTAGTGAATTTCTGAATGTAAGCATGTACTTTAGCGGATTGAAATGCGATTGTGGGGCACCGTTGGATAAAAAAGTTTACGTGAGAGGTGTGGATGATGGTGGCAGCGGGGTGTTTATTGCAAGTAAAGCATCATTAATTATAACCGATGATCTTCAAGTATTGCCTAACGTGATGGGTTTTGCTGTCCAAATTCTCTGCAACTTAGGCATTACAGATACATTCGGAATCGAGGAAAGGAGCGTAACTTTCGGATTCAATGAGGTGAGTGACTAATGTCTATCTCTTTAGATAATAGTATCAAATTTTGAGTCTGTTCGTCTGTTTTAAGCATGCTTTCTTTTTTTCTAGATAATGGATTTGCTGAAGGGGTCATTAGTTTCTCGGGCGCCACTCACGGAACTTATTCTCGATAAAAACCCGATGAAGCATGTTGCGATGAAGTGCGAGATAGGTGTCCTACCAGTTGATCTGATCAAGCAACTAGCTGAAACTTGCAGTGCTAAGAAAATGACTGTGAAAGCCATCGTATCGTCTAATAAGCTACTATTTGCTGAAGTGGATGCTAGTTTTGTGGATTTCCTATTTAGCCTGTTGGCTGTTCCCTTAGGAAGGATTGCGTGCCTACTGCGCTGTGACACATGTCTTAATAACATAGACAATTTGTACAAAAGCGTAGAGAATAAGAGTGCTGAAAAGTATTTGAAGAACAAATGCAAAGCCAATGCCCTGCTACTCCAGCCAAAGTTACCATTCTGTTACTGCTCGAGAAACTACTTTATCTCACCGACTGACACAGATTTCCCTTCTTTGTATTTTTATCAAGATATGCGTTGTCTGTCACCTTTGCAGTCGGTGAACTCATCGGATGGCTATTGGGTGAACTGTTATAAGTTTCCGGAAGATCAAGTGGCCTACTCTACTTACACCCTTCAGAATTCTCGTTACCTAGCATGGCAGGAAAAATATGTTAAACGACAAACTATGTATATGGTGACCGATGATTTAACTGTGACTCCCTTGTCTTCCATCTCGGGCTTTTCCATTCTCAATAGCCTCAAAATCCCATTATCTGAAGTCAAGGAACTCGAGCTGGTTGTTGGTCTGGAAGAGGTTAGTGTTCGTGTTTGGACCGTTTGGTAAGAGACTTCGTTTGACTATGAATATGAATACTGATAATCAACTCGTTTTGCTTTCTGGTGCAGGCTCTGAGCATAATGAAAGCATCTCTGACTTCGTCTCGCGCCTTAACCGATGGCCTCATCAATCCATTTTTAAGGAAACAATTGAAGCAAGAGGGATGAGGATTTATACAAGATCAGATCTGGTGCTATTGCAATAGTTTTCATGACTAAGTCTTACTTTTCGTAATTGAATATTTTGGATTCATGTCACATTGTGCAAGAAACTTTTGTCGTTAACTTATTAGGGTGTAAAAGAAAAAAAGAAAAAAACTTATTAGGGTGTATATGAAATTACCTATTTTAGTTTTATCTACCCCTATGACTGAACTGGGCTTCGGCGACAATCGAAAATGGTAGTGGCTTTGAACCTTAAACGAAGACAAATAGTATGAAATGATAAATTCTGAAACTGATTATATATAGATTACAGATTGTGAAATGTTTTTCGAGTGAAGTCATTTTCAAATGTCAGATTTGATAGCTGTACGTTTTCTCTGAGTTCTGGAAGAATATTAGACTGTATTCTGTTTGCACATACTTTAGATCAGGCTTCCTTCAGATCCAAGCCTGTTTGTGTGCTCTTAGGTTATTTAGATTAAGTCTGATCGTCTGTTACGAACAGATTAACTTGTTGCTCTTAATTCCAGCAAAAAAAAAAAAAAAAAGTACGGTTCTTGTGCTCCATACATATACAACAAGAAAGCTACATTATTTATAACTTAGGAAAGACATGAAGCCCAATGCTAATCTTTTGCAACATCATTAACTCAAAGACATTGAATTCCCATATTCTTAGTTTCCATTGCTCTGAAAATTTCTTCAGTCCAAAATTTCTGACAAACAAAATGAAAAACAAAGTACTGTTTGCTGAATACTTCAACTGGCACTCATTGGATACTCTGTTTTGTAATGCTTTTGTGGTCTGAGTTATAGTCCATATAGTCCTTATCAATGCATATCATTCTACTTATCTGCACGTAATGACTACTGAATTGCATGCTTAAATCTGGTTATAGAAAATGCCACTGCAGCACACTTGCCCTTTTTTTGTCCGGTTGCATGCGTAAGAGCAATACGTCAAAAGTGATATTAGGGTTCGGTTATATTTATAAGAATATGTGCTCCTTAGTATGTGGTCCTACCCAAGCCGAACGAGCTCCAAAGTTTTAGGGGTGGCTATATCACTTGCCAAAACAGAAACTAAGCTCTCCTTGCGGCCCATGTAAAGTAAGAAGTTTGGACAGTTTGTTACCGTGGTTGTATAACCATTCTGTTTAAAGGATGCTGCTCCTCAATAAGATTACCTCTCCTTAAAATCAATAATTATTCTACAACTGATTAAAAAGAGTCCCTATATTACTCTAAAAAGATGGAGTTACTTCAACTCAAAAAAACAAACTACAAGAAAATTAATTTCATACAAACTTGAAATAACCAGTCCAATTTCCATGGCAAATGGAAGGTCAGGGTAATACTTAAAGACACAGGAATCTTGTGGGACTGACTCTTGGACTACCTTTTTTAACTAGCCTTATTAATAGCCTTCATGCATTGAAATCTTTATGCTTACATGACCCTGAGACATAAACTCAATCATCTGTTACAACAATGTCTGCCTCTAAAGATGTCCAGTTCACTTTGAAAGTTATGATAAATAGAGATAAAACTAAGGTCCTCTTTGCAGAGGCCGACAGCGATTTTTTCGACGTTTTGTTGAGCTTCCTGACACTGCCATTGGGAAGGATCACAAAAATTATCGCGGAACACTATGGAGACGACAAACCCAGAGTCGGGAGCTTGACCTCCTTGTACAATGGCCTTGCTGATCTTGATGTTGCCCATTTTCATACAGAGACCGGTAAACAAATGCTGCTGAACCCGAGAAGCGTGTTTGATAAAGAATGCCGTAAGCTGAAGCTGAATCTAAGTGATTCCGAACCCACCAAGTACTTTACATGCGGACAGTCGTCCGATGGGAAG